TAAGCCTTTTGTTCATATTGAAAAATTGCTTTCTAAGAAGCTCACGATAGTGTTATATAAATATAACTGTTTTCCTACACCATATCAACATGGACTATCTTATTATTCTTTTTTCCCATTTTTAAAACTCAGGAAAATTTCCATAAATTAAAATTCACCATTTGTAGTGTAAATTTTGCAAGTTTTAATGAACTTTTTTTAACAGTGCCAATCTGAAAATAATGTCATGATGTAGTTTGCATTTATTTTTAGATATTTAACATACTTATGTTTATCAGCCAAATAAATTTTTAAATGATTTGTTTTATTTTATTGTTGTTAAAAAAATACATGACCAAACATACACTAATTCAGCATTTTCCACACCTACAATTCAGTAACATCGGTTCTCCAAGTTGTGCAACCATCTCATCCTTCTTTTCCTAACTGGTCCTCACCTATTAACATAAACTCACTGCCCGGACATTCCCTATCTCATCGTTTGGTTACTAGTGTCAATTTGATCCTTTATAGCTCTTTAAAAGAACATAATGCTCAGGGCAGGCATTATATACTCATTAAGCTAAACTATTGTTTGGTTTAAGAAGATTTCAGGGGATATTTTTGTTTATGGTTTAAAGATTACTTCAGGGCAATCATTTGGGAGAGTTCATCCAGCCTCAATAGCTCCAGAAAGTCTATGAGAATTTGGAATTTCCTTCCTCAGCCATATATTTTTGAAGTTTAAAATGCCTATTTTTCCTTAGCTCAGGTTTCTATACCAGTTACTATTGCTGTTGAGTCAATTCTGACTCATGGAGACCCTATTTGTGTCGGGGTAGAATCAAGCTTCATAGTGTTTTCATTGGCTGAGTTTTCAGAAGTAGATAGCCAGTCCTTTCTTTCAAGGTACTTCTGAGTGGACTCAACTGCCAACATTTTTGTTAGCAGCCAAGTGTGTTCATCATTTGCAGCAACTGGGGAAAATAATGCATCTTGGCAATATCCTCTTGCTTGGACATTGTTTTGAAGAGGTTTAAACCCTTGAGAGTTTCCTGAGTTTTATAATGCTATGTAATTACTGCAGTTCAATACTATTTCCTCATTTTCATAATCATACCCGTTTGTACCACTAGTAACATGGAACCAGATTTTCAGTCAAGTGCTGGTAATTTATGAAAAAGAACAAGACCCTTGAATTGCCTAAGTTAGGGGAAGTCTTGACCTCACATGTACTCCAAACCTTTGGCCTATACTCTGATCTTTGGTCTGGTTACATGGTCTCTTTATCTGTCCAGTTTTTCTCAACATGACTATAAATCTTGGCATTGGAAAGGGAAGTCATCCCTTTGTTTCTGCTCCCTGTTACCTCTAGTGACTCATTTTTTTCTAAGTATTTAACTGCTTCTTTCTTTACTAAAACTTGGTGCTCTGCTCTAAAAACTACAGCAAAGGAAACCATATGGGGCAGCTTTACTCTGTAACACATAGGGTCTCCCTGAATCAAAATTGACTTGATGACACCTAACAACCACAACAATGAAGGTCTTGTCTGATGGTCCCTGAGAGGAACATAAGAAAGAAAGGAATTATAATTGATACTATATGCTTCTTTCCTATTTATTTTTTAATATTGAAGGGCTCATTCCTTCAGGTATGTGATACTTCTTGGTAGTTATGAATACTATTTGATTATTGTTGTGATTTTTTTTCCCTCCAGCTGTCTTGTCATGATTGTTTTAACTCCTGACTAGGTTACTAATGGATAGCCATAGCCAAACACTCTGAGGGAATGAGTTACTGGGGTTGCTGGCTCAGGACCATGGTCTCAGGGGACATCTACCTCAATTGGCATAATATGCTACACAAAAACATGGTTCTACATCCTACTTTGGTGAATGGAGACTGGGTCTTAAAAACTTGCAAGCAGCTATCTATGTTGCAACAATTGTTTTCTCCTCCTCTGGAGAAAAGGAGTATGAAGAAAACCAAAGATACATGGAAACAGTCCAAGGGACTAGTAGACCATGTGAACCTTAACCTATTTGACCCTGAGATCAGAAGAAATAGATGGTGTCTGGCTATGACTGTTAACCAGTCGGGATTTCCAAAATAGGAGAGCCTGGATAGAGTGGGAGAGATAGGCGAAAAGAAGCTCAGAATCATAAAAAGACCAGGCTTACTGGTTTAATAGAGAGTATAGAAACCCTTGAGACTACGGCCCCTAGTTACCCTTTGGGACTGGAATTGAACTCACTCCAGTGGCTTCCACCCAAATGAAAGGCAGGCATATAAGATGAACATTTACACCAGGTAGATTCACTCCTTAGAATGAACAACCAGGGCAGATCAGAAGGGCATTATTTGCACAAGGAGTTAGCTCAGAGGGCAGGGATGCTTTGGATAGAAGGACATAGGAAAAAGATAACCAAAGGGATGAAGTGGGAAGAGACATGTTACATTGTTGAGACAGCAATGAATGTCATGAAAGAAAATGTGTATGAACTGTTGTATGCAAAATGAATTTTCTCTGTAAACTTTCACTCAAAACATAATTTTAAAAAGAGAAAAATAAATAAATAAAAAGAGATGGTGTTGCAGGATGCTTTCTGCACAATAGTGTTTAGAAGGACATGCATTTTATGGTTACATGATCCCAGAGGGAGATATTTACACCATTTCACAATTGAGCATAGTGTTGTATTTATTGGCAGCAAGAAGGCATTAACTCAAGGTTGGAACTTATGCTCAGTTCTCAGGCAGTACCCCATATTAGTGGCATGACTTCAGAGAATATGACTGCTAGGTGTGCCTGGCAAACGGAGCCCAAACACCAGGAGACTCATATTTAGCAAAAGGCATTGCAAAAATTCCAGTATTGGGAAGTCAACAAATTCCCAGAAACTTTGGATGCATCAGTAACAATGATGGCCTGAAGATTAGAGGCAGGAATGTGTAGTAATGACTGGAATTACGTTTCAGTTCAATAGGACGGTTGTTTAAAGTCAGACTGATGCTTTCAGGTTAGATAGATAGATAGATAGACACTTTTTTTTTTTTTTTTTTGTCTACAATTTGAATCTATACAATTACATTCATGCCTGCCCTCTTCTCTAGATGAAATTGCTTAAGTGAATACAGTTGGGAAACTTCATATCTAGAAACCACAATCATTACCAAACCCACAGACCGTTGTTCTTGAGTTACATGCAAATTATTACCAGCAGTGAAAGATAAAATACAAATAGTTTCTTTCTAACTAACCTGAGGAAGGGAAAGAAAGTAGAAAATTCCAATGAATTCATCAACACAGTCAGTTTCATTTAGGTGCAGACAATAGACTAGTTATGCTCACTCTAATGTCTGGCACATTGTAGGTGTTCAGTGTGTATTTGTTGATTTTTGGCAAACATTGTGCTTTCCTGTCCTACTGCAGAGAAGAGCTCATTTTAATTCAAAAGACTGGCATGGCCCATGCTCTCTGCATGGAGTGTTAGCCTAGAGGTGAGCAGTGACCAAGAGGGATAGGCTCAAAGAGACATAGGCCAAAGGACCCTGAGTTAATGGCAGGCTCTGGCTGGATGTTGAGCTGGGTGAGGGGTTGAGTTAGCCCTTCCCAGGTGAGGGTTGGGGTCAAGGGTTCTGGAGAATGACCCTACTGTCAAAGAAACCAAGGTCCTTACCCCCTGTTGCAAAGAGCCAATGATCACAACAGGTTGAAGAGGGAAAGTAAAAGATTTACAGAGTATCATTACCCAAGGAGACAGTGAGAATCATTTCTGTAAAACATCTTGTCTCCCTGAGCAAAGGAGTAAACATGATTATATAGAGGAAAGGGAAGGGGGTTGAAGATCTCTTGGATAACCAGGAACACCTTTGTTCTCTTCCCTGGTTACTTCAGACTCAGTGTCCCTCTTTCCAGGGTCATCTTGCTCCATAGGCAACAGTTCTTAACCAAGACCAGTTGTGGCAGAGGGTTAGGTTTAAAAGAATACACAACTGAAAATAGCAAATTTAAAGAATCCATCCTCCATAAAAATACTGGTTATTCTATTTACTTCAAAGGAAGCAAAAGGGAGGGAAAAATAACGTGTTAGTTCCTATAATTAATATCCACTTTAATCATGCCTGCTGGCCTATGAAAATTTTACCGTTTTCAGTGAGGGGCCCCTTTAGCCTTCTAATTCAGCCTTCCACACTACCAGCCCTGTTCTCTGAGGGGCCTGTCTGGCACCAGCCTCTCGAGGGCCTTCTCTGCCAAGCTGCAACTTGGGATGGTAACCTGTGATGAGGTTCAGCTTTGCTGAAATCCCACAGGGCTCTGTGTGTCCTAGGTGGGGAGATGATGAAGGGGCTGGCTCAGATCAGTGTGGTCTGGAGGAGACAGGAGGTGACAGATTCTGAGAACTCTCAGTAGTAAGTGAGAAAGGAGGAGAAAGTGGGGCCAGGAGAATAGAACTTAGGGTGGACCCTGAACTCAGAGCAGGGCAGGGAAAGGAAGGAAGGAAACTAAGCCCAGGTGAGTATGAGGAGATTTTTAAGGACCCATTCCTCTAAAGCTGCCAGCTTCCCTGGCTGTGGAAAATAAAAGTTCTGCTGTTGCTCTTCCCTGAACTTCGGGCCGTGCCTGCTTGGCCTGCAGAACCTAGTGGATGTCCCCTTCCTCTCTGTGTGTAGCAAAGGGCAAGGAAGTAAGAAGTTCTCCTGAGCCCAGTACCAGAGAGAATTTCGTTTCTTCCTGAGGTTGTTCAGTCTCAGCCCTGCAAAAGGACAGACCCTGGAGATACAGGAGTGGGTAAGAAGGAGCTGGGTAACCACATTGCATGGAAATTTTGGAATGAGGTGAGGAGAATAGAGGAAGCAGGACACAAAGTACAATTGTGACCTTGTCCTGCCAGCCCAGAGTCAGTACCTGTGGAAAAAGATGAATGCATAGACAAGGCACCAACCAATACCTCTCAGCTAAGACACATTTATTAACGTGCTGGTCCTCCAAAGAAGATGTTCAATCAGAGAGGGCTTCAGTTTGATTCCTGCAATTGGAGGCGTTTTGTGGTTTTCTTTATCCAGCGCAGGTAACGGGAGACTTTGGTGAAGACCCGTGGTGGAATCCCAGTATTTTTTCCATAGGAGACAATGCCCTGGGCCACATTGTTGCACACAAGGGGACCCCCAGAGTCGCCCTGGGAACAGAAAGGGTCAGGGTTGAATTTGTTATCCTCCTGGTCCTGCCACCTTGGAGAGTTCCACATTGTGAGAGAAGGCCTTAGAAGGCCCCTGGGATGGCGTGAGAAGAGAGGGCCAGCAGGAATCCGGGCACCCTCAGCTGCCATACTCCAACCCTGAGCATTGTTACTACTTCACCTCACCCCAGGTTGTAGCCTATCTTCTTCCCTCAGCTCTAGGGTCACCTCCTTGTAAGAGCCTCTGGGACTTTTGATTCCAGTCTACTTCTTAAGGAAACAGGCAGTTGAGTGAGCTGAACACAGAATAGAGGACAGACAGCTCATTAACCAAGGTGAGTGCCAGCTCTTCAGTTGCTACCTGTTTTTAATTACTCCATGTTGAGTGAGAGCTGTTTTCTAGCATGTGGGCACTGGAGTGTGTCAAATCTACACACACACACCCCTGCCCAATAAAATAAAATAAAGCCAGTTGATGTCATGTCAATTCTAACTCATAACAACCCCATATGTTACAGAGTAGAACTGCTTCATAGGGTTTGTTTGGCTATTATCTTTATGGACACCTCTGGGTGAGTTTGAATCACCAACCTTTAGGTTAGTAGCTGAGTGCAAACTGTTTGTGCCATCCAGGGACCTTTAAGGTGGGGCAAGGAGTGGCAAATGCCTCTTTCTAGAAGGACACCTTTTTCAGATTCAATGCTGGTGGGCCAGCAGAGGCTCTCATGACTCCCCCACTTGAATGCTCCCCTCTTCTCTTCCCACAGAAAAGGAACATAGCCTAGTGAGTGAACTGGTCCCTCCATTGCTTGGATCTCCAAGCCTCAGATCTTTGCCAACCTTTTCCCCAGAGCCAGGCTAGGCAGATGCTAAATCCCACCTTAAAGGAAGACATCTTTTTCTTCGGGTCCCCCACACACATCTCACAGGCACTACTGTAATTGGGGAAGCGGGATTCACACTCCTGGTCCTTCTGCACAGTGAGCTCCACCTCACGCAGCCTGTTTGTTGAGGTATCCACTGACACTCGGCCCCAGCCGGCCACACTACACACCTGCCCTGGTCTCACCTGGACCTTTTTCCTGGGCAAGCGGAGTGGGCGCACAGCTGCAGTCAGGCTGGCTTTTGTCTTCAGCTGATGGGGAGAGACAGGAAAGTCCTGGTCAGCACAGCGTGCTGAGCCTGGAGACTGATGGACTGCACTGTATTCCTGCTCTTCCAAGGCCCTGACTAGTCCAGCAGCCAGGGTGGGAAGGTGGGAAGGGCAGGAGTTACAATAGAAGGAGAAACCCTCTGGACCCAGGGGAGCAGCGAGCATCAGGGAGTTGTGCCTCACCTGCAGCAGCATGATGTCATTGGAAATAGTCTTCTCATTATAGTCTGGGTGGCGGATGGCTCTTCTCACAGGGATTTTCTGCTGAGTCTTTTCCTGCTCCTTGATGTTGTGGGCCCCCAGGGTGACATTTATGGAGCTGCACAGAGAATAGAATGGGGCAGTGGGTCACATGCGCTGTAACCCAGGAGCTGAGAAGTGCAGGTGATGGCTGAGTCAGGGCAGGACTTTAGCTGAGGGGAAATGGACGCAACAGGAGGGTCTAAGCCCACTGTGCCCTTTGCTTCTTGTAGCCCAGGTGGGATGCTAGAGCCATTGGTAACTGCACCAGTGGTTCTCAGTGAAAACCAAGTCCTCTGATGTCTAGGATTGTGCTTTTTTTTAAGGGCCAAGAAAACAGGCAAGATTGTTTTTGTTTGCATTTCGGCCTCAAATACATGCTCCCAGTCGTTCAGTCTAGGCTCTATTTTTTTTCAGCAATGCCTCTCCCCACACAATTAGATGCCATCTTTCTTGCTCTCTCAGACCTCTTCTGGCCCTTGTGTTATGAGGAGCCCAGGGGGCACCTTGGAAAGAAGACAAGGGTACCTGGGGAGTGTGGGCTATATGATGCTCCTCACCTTCCCCAGCAGTGAGCAGCTGTCAGCACGAAGTCCTCTCGGATCAGGAAACCACCACAGATACTCTGAATATTTGCCTTCGAGAACTGAAGAAATGCCATGTAGGGGCGAGAGTGGGGCTTGGCCTCATGTCCCCCGATGATATCCCCTAAAAGAGAAATGTGTTCTGCTGTGTGTACCACCAAGTCCCTAGGGTAGGCATCTCCTTGTCAGCTCTAGAACTACTGGGCATTTGTGAGCCTGGAATGGTATGAGGTGGGGCATCTGTGGTGAGAGGCCTTAACTTCCTCTTCTGAACAAGGGAAAAGCAGTCCCTAATCTGTAATCTTTATTTTGCACATAGTTGGAGGTGAGCATTGCTGTGTTAGGAAGAGCACTGTCCCTAAGGCTCCAGAAAATTCCCTTCTTGCCATGTCTTTGTTTAAATGAATTTCTAAGACCTCTATGAGTCCCGTGTGGTGTAGGATAGTGCTGCTTTCTAATGGCCAAGATCTAAGTTCAAGGATCTAGATAGTGTTATGTCCTATTCCCTACAGCCTGACATAGTGGCTGCATGAAGTAATGTTCATTGGCTGCATGAAGGAATGGCCTCCAATTAGTAGATGAGGGTTGCTGAGGGTAGTGCTGGTGTGATTCTGGAAGGCAGAAAAGTTGGGATCTACCAAAGACAGTAGCCCATCCTTTAAAAGGGAGAAGTTTCTGAGGCCTGAAAAGAAATGCAGAGCTAGAGAAATGGGCTGAAGGATCCTGGGGCTGAACAAAGGCAAACAGTGTTATGGGCACAGTGCCCCCACCAATTCCAGGGTCAGCTACACTCTGGGCTTCTCTCCCAGGCAGAATGGTGAGGGGAGCACTTGTCTCACGTCATCCCAGACAGAGGTCAGGCCCACTCTGGCCTCTGCAAGGAAATTGGATCTTTTCTGCTTATTAATTTCTCACCCATTCCCATGCACTTGTAGGATAGTCCCACTTTTCAGATGAGAAGTTTAAGTCCTGGGGAAGGAATAGTACCCCTGACTCTTGTTAACAACATATTTCTTCCCTGCTCTTCCTGCTGAAGAAAGTATCCAGCATCATACTGGAGGCCTAGGGTGGGACAGGAGGTGGGATTAAGAAGGTTCCTAGTAGATGGATGCATCAGGGATGTGCAGAAGGAGCAGGAGATCAGTGTCCACTGTGGGATGGGGCTAGGCCTCAGAGAGTGGGGACATTCACTCACCTGTCTCTGCTCCAGAGACCAGAAGGAAGGCTAGTAGGAGCAGGTGAAGCTGCATCTTCCCAGGAAGTCTGCCCAGGTCAGAGCTGCTCTTGTTTCCCTGTGGCTTGTTTTTAGCCCCCAACAGAGGAAGGAGGTGGAAGTGGGTTCAGTGATCTCACAGTCCATTCTGGTTTTGTGGTGATTCACCATAGAAGGCTTTCTACCAAAATTACCCTTCCCTCCCTGCTGACGTTCATTGGGTGCTTATGGGAATATCAGGCAGTCACCACATCATTGAACAGAGATGATGACTCAGAGCAAACCCCAATGGTACAAGGTGGGGACTGTAGACTTGTAGCATCCCCCATAGAGGTACCAGAGTCCCGGAAACCAGTGTCCCCAGTGATAGAACCACCAATAGTTTCATTTCCATACTGCTAAGTGCATCTATGTGTCAGTTTCGACTCGATAGCATGAGTAACTCTATGGATAATTTCCTTAGCAGATGCACATTTATGCTTTCTTCTGTGCCAGAACCAAGTATATTGGTATACATCTCCCTTCCTTAGAGAGCTCACTATCTGTTGGAGGAGACAGAAATGATAGTGACCAGAGCCCAGTTTTGTGAAGGCCATGGTAGGGAGACAGTAAGGTAGTAAGGGAGCCTGGCCACATTCTACTAAACCAATAGCAATTCATTTATCATCAGAGCTTCCAGGGAATTTTTTAATGGACATTATTTAAATACAAGTGCTCCAAGTGAAAGAAGCCATCTCTCCCAGTGTTTTTAACAAAATTTTGTATTTGACTTTTATTGACCTCAGTTAAGAAATCACTGTAGCCCATGCTGTTAAAAGTACTGATTGACTTAAGACCTTGGCTAGGCTGGATTGAGTCACACCAAATTCCATTAACTCAGAATGGGAAAGACTGGTTCACCCAGGAAAGGTAAATTTACTGGATTGCTGATATCATAAGTAGTAGGAAAGTGTGCCTGGTACCCACAGACCAGTAATTGCCTTTTTAATATTCTCTGTCCTTTGTCTGGGAGTTTGGTGGTACAATGCCTAAGGCATTTGAGTGCTGACCAGAAGGCTGGTGGTCAAATCTGCCAGCCACTCCTCGCAAGAAATCCACACTTCTGATATAGTAGGCCCAGCACATAATGTTTTTGCTGCTGTTGCATTTCTTTGAACAAATGAGGTTGCCATGAATCTGAATGGACTTGATGGCAACTAAAAACAAGCATGTAATGGGCCTGCAGAAGACATTTACTACACTACTAAACTATTGATAGTAGTAATACTACAGTACTTACTACACTACTAAACTCTATAATGGAAATTAAGGACTATTGCTTTAAACAGCCTAAATCCAATTCTGTTAAAAGAACGACTTAATTACCTTTATATTGTTCCACTTGGTGACTTAAGTTTTCATTTTTGTATTTTCTATGTCGTTATGTGCCATCGAGTCGGCCCCGACTCATAGTGACCCCCTCCTTGGGTTTTCGAGGCAGTATCACTACAGAAATAGATTGCCCAACCTTCCTTCCAAGGGGTGGGTTTGAGCCACCAGCCTTCTGGTTAGCAGTCAAGTGCCTTAGGCACTATGCTACCAGAGTTCCTATATTTTACAATTTTTATAAGGATTGTTGTATATGAAGATACACATTTCTAGTCTGAACTTTTTCCCTTATTAGCCACAAACCTCTGCTTTATAGTTCTTAGTTTTCAAAGGAGTGGACCTTTTAAAAAAACAAAACTACTTTTCTGATTATAGTGGTAATATATGTTCCTTAAGAAAACCTGGAAAGGAGAAAGGAGAAACATCACTCCTTTGAGTATCTCCCACAGTCAAAGTCTTTGACCTTTAAGTAGTGTATTTTAAATATTTGTGATGATTGTGCATATGGAAAACATTTTCCTTTTTCTCTCATTTAATCTTAAAACACATATTTACCTCATACTCCTAAAAATATATTTGTTAATATCACTGTAGTCTTTTTTAGTTATAAAAAATTTAATATGCAAGTAATTTAAAAAAAGTTCTTGGAAAATTTGAAAACTAATTTAAGCAAAGAGAAAACATTTAAATTACCTGATTTCTCATCATTCTTTGATAATTCTTTTTGATGTTTTGAAATAGAATCTAATATATTAATTGGCTATGCAAATTAGTAAAACCTGTGAAAGCTGGAAACTGTCAGAGAAGGAAAACATAAATATTTTCCAATAATAGAGAGCAATAAAAAAGTGGTAAGACTGCACCCTGTCAAAGATGGAAAACATGTGAGACCCAAAAAACCAAGGCAGTGGTGAGTTCCAGCTCTCATCATTTTCACAGCAACTATGATTTTGAAACTTAAAAAGGGATTATGATAAACGTAAGGCTCAGAAACTTTATGCTTAACAATTTGAGGTATACATTCTTCCCTGTCAGGACATATTCATCTACATCAGAATTGTAAAAATTGCTGCGATTGTTATCATTACCTACTGCCATTGAGTCCATTCTGACTCATAGCAACCCCCATTGTGTTTCCAAGGCAGTAATTTTTATGGAAATAGATTACCTCATCTTCTTTCAGCTGAGCAGCTGGTGGGTTTGAGCCACCAACCTTCTCCTTAGCACTGAAATGCCTTAGGCACTGTACCATAGAGCCCATTATTATTATTGTTGTTGTTGTTGTTTGCCGTCGAGTCGGCCCCGACTCATAGCGACCCCTCCTTGGGTTTCCGAGGCAGTATCACTAC